GAGAGAGAGAGAGAGAGAGAGAGAGAGAGAGAGAGAGAGAGAGAGGGAAGAAGAAGAAGAATACCTTGTGGTCTGGATGACTGTTAGGGACGCGAAGGGCATTTTGGATGGTCATGGTTTCTCTCTAGCTCTTTCTCTCTCAATAGTTACGTTCTCGCTAATCTCCCTCTCTGGCTCTCTTTTTACTTACTGCTACTTGATGAACGTATCTCATTTAGCTGCGAATGGATGGGTGTATCCGGTTATGGTGGGTGGTTAACGGTAATCCATCTTGAATGGTGGCACAGGCCCTTTGTCGATTTCAGTCTTTCAATGATAAACGATACCTATGTGTTCACTGAACTTGGCTCCCGTTTGTTCTTGTTACGCCTCCCAATGGCTTATTATCTGGATGTTACTGGAAATGTTATGTGGATGTTATCCAAAAGTTTAATCTCATATCTTTTATCTGACAGCTTCTTTTAATCTGAAAGGTGATCATCTGAAATGTGATCTGACACATTATCTCAAATCTTCTTTCCTGAAAGTGGATCTGAAAGTTGATCTGAAATGTTATCTGAAACGTTATCTGGGTGTTGTTCGCTTTGTGTAGTGCTGGAGATGAGTTCTCGCAGAGTTCGGCGAAAGGAAATCAAGGAACCATCTTTGGCTGAAAGAGTTGCAGACTTGGGCATTGATGAAGAAGGGCGTATATCTTTCCGCAAGGGGAAACGTGTGCATCCTCCTTCAGGTAAGGTGTCCCTATGCTCAGCTGAGAGATCCATTGTTCTAGATGAATGCAGTAACATCTGGTGTGATTTATTTCCCCTCCTTGATCACGTGCTCCTTCCCTCTGTCCCCAGCTCTGTCCCATTATGTTATTGGCTTATCCACATGTACAGCGGGCAATAAGGAAATGGGAGATAACTTGATACAGGGCGCTAACGTAACGGGAGAGAGCTGGGGACTGGTTTGGCCGGGTTCCTTTTCCACCCAATGACTCTAAAGATCAGATTCGGCAGGAGTGTCCCCCCCCCCCTCCTCCCCCCGCGCCCCCAATAAGTGGACTGGTTCGGATTTCGCCCTCCACTACTTTTCTTCCCTCTATCAACACTGGACTCCACTCTACATTATGTGCGAGAGTCCCTTGTCATCTCTGCTGAAGCTTCCGTGTTAGTTTTGGGCATCTACTTGTCCTTTTGGTCCCTTCGACCCTACTACTTTTCTTCCCTGAGCTCTATCCACACTTTACTCCACTCTACATTATGTGTGAGAGTCCCTTGTCGCCTTTGCTAAATCTTTGGTGTGTTTTTTGGGCATCTACTTGTCCGTTTCTTCCCTTTCAATAGGACCGTGTCCTCTCCCTCTTATTCCATATTATATCTGATTTTCCTTGTTTCTCTGTGTCTGCCTGTTGTCTTACCCGAATAGAGCACCCGATCGTCGTTGTTGCATCTAGACTGAAAGATGCCCCAAATACGGCTATGATGACTGGGTATTGTATTTGGGTGAAGACAGTAGATTCCTTATGTCTTTCTCTGTTTTCTCCCTTTGCTTAGCCGATCTTTCCCTTCCAGTTGTTCTTCGTCTTGTCTCAAACCGCCAGTACATGGCCTGTGATGACTGGGTATTGTATTTGGGTGAAGACGGTAGATTCCCTATGTCTTTCTCTTTTCTCCCCCTTTGCTTAGCCGATCTTTCCCTTCCAGTTGTTCTTCGTCTTGTCTTAAACCGCTAGTACATGGCCCCCACCTTTGCTGAAAATGTTTTGTCGCCTGGTCCGAAAAGTCGGCGCTGGTGCGCCGTCGATAAAATAAATCAGCAGCCGTCGCGTTTCGGCCTCTGACAGGGGCCTGGGTCGATATGAGGCGTGTACTGGTGGTTTAAACGACCACTTCGCATGCCACTGGCAAAAACAATAGCTTGGTAAATATATTCGCTTTAACTTTCGGGGGTTGGCGCTGTTGTACCAAAATGGCTGGCACGCCAAAGGAAAAAGAAAAAGAAGCGCTCGCACTGGTTCATTTCTTTCGCTGTACACAGCACTATCTGCCTCAGTGAAAACAGGATCGGAGGTAGTGGTGGTTTAAGGCGCACTCTAAGGGCATACACTAGGCCCTTATATTTGCAGAATGGCAAAATCAGTGGTCAGATGGAATGGAGTCCCTCTCAAAAGGACTTGATCTGGGCGCTGATTTTGCGACTCTGCGATTATAAGGGCCTGGTGTGAGTATACTCTAACACTAGGACATTTCTGACTGATCTGTGGACGTAATTGCGATCCAGGAAGGGTTGTAATTGTGGTCAGTTACAAAGAAGATGCATTTTCTATATCATCAGAGCAATCATTCAAAAGTAGTTTTTAATTTCTTCTTCTTTTGTTGTGTGTGAACACTGAAGATGACTTCGGCTTTGAGAGGCGATTGTTTCGTCGACTGGAGACGTTTTCTCTTGCGGAAGTTCGACAAGCGGAGAGCTGTGGTGCTATTCTTGTCAGTACCCTCTTTCTTCTTTGACCCCCCCCCCCCCGCCCCTCCCTTCTCTCTTTTTTCTTTTTCTTTCCATTTCGTGTCAGCGTTTCTTTTGTCACTCGCTCATGACAGGCATTGAGCTGTGGGTCTATCTTTGTACATTGACTACCCAACTGAATATTCTTCGCCTTTAATTATAGCATGTGCATCTGGTGGAGCAAGAATGCAAGAAGGAGAACACCAAGTTTAATGCAGATGGCAAGCATTGGTTCTGTACTGTCAGGTTCATCGATTTCAGCGATATTGACTCGTCCAGCAACAGGTGGTGTAACTTCAATCCTCTCAATCTCTCTGTGTTTTTGTCTTGTCTTTCCATCCCCTTGTCTTGTTGCTTTTTTTTCATTTGTTGTTAGTGTTCCTCTATCACTCACTTGCTATGGGGTTTCAGCTGCTTCCCTCTCAGAATGGAAATAAGAAACCAAAACTTCCTTGTGCAAGGAACCGTGCAAGAGAGACACTCAAATCACAGGTGCTGTAAACTCGCTTGACCAGCATGCATACGGCGACCAGAGTTGTGGCAGAAATGGTGAAGCATTGATCAAGCCAGGCTATGGGCCTCACTCCACTGCTCAACATTCTACACGCATTTGGACACCTTGATGGGGCAGGTGCATTCGGAGGAGTTGAACATTTTCAATGTATCCGCACGTTTGTAAGGACTGGATACATATAGAGTGCTGTGTAGTGGAGTGAGGCCGTATGTCATGCATTCTTCCTCAGCCCAGCTATGGCTGGCGCTGGCTGTATGTTAGGTGCTGCCCTCTCCTGGTTGTGTTGTTTTTCGGTAGTGCTCCTGCTGCCTGGCAGCATCCTGTGTGCCGAAGGGGTTTGACCTGCGCGGGCTTTCCTTATATACCAGATTCAGGTGCCTGTTTAGCCTGCAGGCACTGCTTCCTGGAGTCTTCCAGTTACGGCTGTGTGCTATCCGGTCTCTGTCTGGGCCTGACTGTTGCTTCCTCTGGCCCTCTGCTGCCTGCTTAGAGCCCCATGAGTCCTCACTCTCCCTCCCTCTTGAGCCCGGGTATTTGTGGTTCTTGCCCGTTTATTCGTGGTTCTCTTTTGATAATTGTCGTTGTCGTTTTTTTCCGGACTTCTATCTGCGGCCATGCTTGTCGCGATTGCCTGTGTTGTTTGCTTTTCACCCCTACACTAGACGCGAACCTGGACACAGCAGGACGTCCGGTTGGACTAAGGCCTGGAAAACCCCCGACTAACGCCTGGAAAAGCCTGTGTGTTGTGTGCAGAAGGTTTATGGACAAGGACTGAATTGGGCCATACCTACCTCAAGGCAGTATCCAGCCTGTGCACCTCTCTCTCTCTCTCTCTCTCTCTCTCTCTCTCTCTCTCTCTCTCTCTCTCTCTCTCTCTCTCTCTC